AATCCCAGATCTTTGCAAGATCAAGTTGATCATTTGATGAATGAAGTTACTAAGATAGCCAAACTTGTCTCCCTCAAAATGAGTTCTCCCATTGTGCCTAAGTCTTCTTGGATTGCAAGAGGTCATACCAAATCTCTTGTTGTGCTAAATGCCTTTGCTGCTTCAAACACCAACTCTTGGTATTTTGATAGTGGTTGTTCCAAACATATGTCTGGGGATAAAAATGTTTTCTCATCCCTCACCCCCTTTGATGGAGGCACTGTGACTTTTGGTGGAGGTCATAGGTCTCAAGTTGTTGGAAAAGGTACTGTTTGTATCCCTGGTCTGCCTGAGCTTAAGAATGTTAGATTTGTTGAGGGTCTCACATCCAATCTCATTAGTGTGAGTCAGCTGTGTGACGATGGAATAGTAGAGGTTATATTCTCCAAGCATGGCTGCAAAATCATTGGAAAAGGTGACAATGAGATTGTTAGCGTGGCAAGGTCTAGGGACAATTGCTACTGTATTGATGGTGTCAATGATGCAAAAGAAGTAGTTTGCAACAAGGTTGTAAATGAAACAAGTGTTTTGTGGCATCAAAGGCTTGGACATGTGAATTTTAGAGACTTGCATAAATTGTCCAAGAGAGAGTTAGTAAGTGGTCTACCAAAGCTTGAAAAATCTGACCTGCATGTTTGTGAAGGATGTCAATTAGGCAAACAAGTTAGAGTGTCACACAAAAAGGTTAAACACATTCAAACTAATGTTAGTCTAGAACTTGTTCACATGGATCTTGTTGGTCCTATCCAAACCATGTCCCTTGGTGGAAAGAAATATATTCTTGTCATGGTTGATGATTTCTCTAGGTTCACTTGGGTCTCATTCTTACGTGAGAAATCTGAAACCTTCCAAAGGTTTAAGTCTGTTTGTCACCTTTTGCAAAAAGAGAAGATGACTAGTCATCTACCTCTTGTTAGAATTAGAACAGATCATGGCTCTGAATTTGAGAATTCTCAGTTTCTGAAATTTTGTGAAGAAATGGGAATTAAACATGAGTTCTCTGCACCTATTACACCTCAGCAAAATGGTGTTGTGGGGAGAAAGAATAGGGTGCTTGTAGAAATGGCAAGGGTGATGCTAAATAGCAAAAATCTTGCTAAACACTTTTGGGCTGAAGCTGTCAATACAGCTTGTTACATCTCAAACAGGGTATTTGTGAGGTCTGGTACCAAACAAACTCCCTATGAGATTTGGAAAGGAAAGAAGCCTAATGTGTCATATTTTAGAGTCTATGGTAGCACATGCTATATTCTGAGAGATAGGGAGCATCTTGCTAAGTTTGATTCTAAGTGTGATAAGGGAATATTTCTAGGGTATTCCACCTCAAGCCGAGCCTATAGAGTGTACAACTGTAGGTCCAGAACCATCATTGAATCCATAAATGTCACTATTGATGATTTTGCTGCATCTACAGAGATGGCATTGGATGAGGATGATCTTTTACCTCCTCCTCCTCCTGAGCAAGAATCTCCAGGTCTGGATCTTGTGGTTGACCTGTCAACTTTTGGAAATTCTGTCCCGGTTGACCTGTCAACCTTTTCAACTTCTAGTTCCATCTCATCTGTCCAGGCTGCTAGCTCTCATATTGATCTTAGTCCTCTCACTCAAACTGAGAGTGTCATTATTGGCCCTCTTAATCAGGGAGTGAGAACTAGGAAGCAACTTGCTCAAGAAATTAGCCATGTGTGTTATGTCTCCAAGGAAGAGCCTAGAAATGTGAAAGAAGCCCTACACCATGGTGAATGGTTTCTTGCAATGCAGGAAGAATTAAATCAATTTGTGAGAAATGATGTTTGGTACCTTGTTCCTAGACCAGTCAACACTAATGTCATAGGCACTAAGTGGATTTTCAAAAATAAAACCGATGAGCAAGGTAATGTGGTAAGAAACAAGG